GGAGGAGGAGAGGGGGGGGGGGCGGATATTTCTGGTTGAGTGTGAGTTTGAGTAAGTCCGGGCACCGAGCCAAGCATGCCGATGGACGGGAAGGGAGGGGCCGGAGGTTTTGTAGGGAGAGAGAAGAGAGATAGAAACCTATTTGGGCTGGCGCACTGTCAGCTTCACTAGCACACAGCTGCTTCTGGAAAATTCTGCACCCTGCCCTACTAAACCACCAGGCATGACATGAATAACAAGAATGGCCTAGCCGTCAACAGCGGATACTTTTTCTTTTGACGTGGGCCTAACAGACTGGTACAAATGCCCTGGCCTTGCACATAGTGGAAAAATCAACAATGATGGGGACACCGGGGCACAATGTGGAAATGAAATCCCGGGTTTAGAAGGCTTTGTCTGGACAAGGACGCAGTTGACACAGACCCTAAGGGCTTTGGAAAAGGGCTGTGTAACAAAATGCCAACTGATGTGTTTTGATGGGGTTACTCGTTCACCAGCCAGTCACTAATTGGAGAGTAAGAAACCACTAAATTGCTTCCAGTCAGCATGGAGCTCTTGCAGATTTCCTTCCCGAGCCGCATGTGTCATATATACCCTTATGCAAAGACAGAAAACCCAAGCTAGAAAAAGGCACGTACTAGCTGGTATGCCTTGCTATGTTTCCAACATGGCCAGTCAACACTTGTCTTGGTCTAAGTACAGCCTTACCGGCAGTGTGTGAGTGTTGCTCTGCAGATGAGATAATGCTAGCTCTTATCCGTCCATGAGGTTGTTAGCCATGCACAACCCTCCCTGGTGTTGACATTTCCCTGCCCAACCTGTCTGAACACATAGGGCCATGGAGGCTCCTCTCAGGCTGCCTGTATCCATGGCCGATAAAGAGGTGAGTCACCCGCTCATCTATCCCGCTCTATCCCTTTGCCTGGCAATACTCTTACCCTTAACCCCCTTGTCATCCTCGTCCACAAGGCCTTATGTGTACATCCAGCACATGGTGGATTGTATGAATAGCAGCGACCGCGTGGCTCGCCGCTGACACCTGACATTTTCATGCCCCAGCAAGCCGCTGATACATTTGGCGCTTGGCACGCATTCTTCTCCCGGGTTTATCCATCTGTTGAAGTAGAGCCCACCCCCTCCCCCCAGCCACTACTATGTTCTTGTAACATAACACGAGGCTCGCCTTTCCCTCTATTCATCTTAACATGTGAGCACGGCATGGCACAGACTTCGCCCCTCCCTCCTGCATGTTTTTCTCTGGCTCTGGCTCTGGCTCCCTCCCTGTTGTGCTTTCTTTCTTTTCCTTCACACACACACACACACACTACACAATCCACCCAAGTCATTAGTCTTCAGACCAGCATTCAGCTGGTCTCAGAAACCCACCAAGATGGAGAACAAAAAAGTGAGATGGGAATTGCGTGAAGCTGGAGTGATAGTGCTGGCAAAAGACAGAATGTGAGATTGTGTGCAGGCAGGGGGCTTCCTGGCTGCCTGCCAACTTCCAGCAGCAGCACTGCAGCATGTCAATATGTCCGTTGCCAGGGAAACAAGGAGAGCACACACAGCAACACAGTCCCTACAAGGCCTCTGAGTTACACCCTTTTCTTTTGAATTTAAAAGGCTCAATAAAATTGTGATGCTCTCCTGTCCAGCGAGGAGCATCACCGGGAGGGTCTGATGCACACAGAGGTCACGTTAAACCCCCTCTCAGACTCAAATCGGGGGGCTTTAGCCAACCAGTAGGAGTCGCTAGTAGTGCAACAACATGGACATGATCCCTGACTGGCTTCCCACAGATGAACACAGACAATTCACTGCAACAAATGCACAAAAATATGGTAAGATCCAAGGTGGTGATGCATTTGTTTATGGGCAGATACTGTCCATATCCAGGAGATTACCGACTGGATCTTTGACATATTTTATTTGTATATGATATAATTAGGTATAATATAATATGGTATAATATGATATAATATGGTATAATATGATATAATATGATATAATATGGTATAATATAATATGGTATAATTTGGTATAATATGGTATAATATTGGATCCTTAAGGATACAGGTCCTTTTTGTCTGTATCACTACTGGGGATTGATTTGGAGTCTTTTCAATGGTGGCCTAAAATGTTTCAGCACTTAATTTGAATTAATCCATGAATCCAAATTTACAGCTACTATGGCACAATGTTATTCTCAGTGTTCACGGATCAATCACAATCAAATAATGTTGTTTTATTCTTTAAACATTTGCCTTTTTTGTGGTTCCAAATATGTCCTTCGTGGACTTTTGCAGGCTGTGAATCTCTGCGTCCTCACTACACTTATCAGGTTGGTGATAGTACCCTGCAGCAAACAGCCTGGCTGTGAGTTATTACTGGCAGGGGTATACTCCTCCATCAGGCATTGTGAAAGAATGACCTCAGATACATCAGGGAGTGCAGTGGCTCTGTTGCAAAGTCACAACTTGCAACATAAGTCATGCGTTTTAGTCTGTTGAGCCACAAAGTGCCACAGCAACCTAATCAGTCTGTCTCAAGCTGTGACCTTGATCAGAGCTACACTTTCTATCTCCTTGCAGACACTGTAATGCTTTTTTTCATGTAATAGTGATAAAGTAAAATATATATATCTCAGTGTTTCCTTTGTGCTGTGATACAATCTGTCACTCTAGAACAGCCTGTGTTGTACTCAGGCATATATTTTGTAAAGCTGTCTAAACTGACCTCAGCAAGAAATTGCCACCCTGTTATCTCTCTACTTGTTTTCAGCTCTGTCTGTATTGTGGCTTTTTATTAATACGCCATGATTTACATATTAATCAATGAATAAAAGCTGAATTAAACTATGTGTTGTGCTCAAATGTTTGAACATAAGCCCTTAAATGCCATAATTAACGTATTATTAACAGTCCAGTAAGCCAATGATAGCCTGATTACAACACAATGACGGACACATTTCCATACGTACATATTACAGTGTCGTTTTCATTGGGGTGAATATTTGTGTGTAGTTGAAGGACAGCTAAAGGACAGCTCTGTCAGCCACACCTAGCCTGGCACTCTTATCCAAGTCTGGCTCCGTCTGTGCTCGTATCACTGGAGGGGAAAGGGGGTGTGCCAACTATAGCGCCTTAGTACTTTTCAGAACTCTATCTGTGCCTGTGATTGGTCTAACAGCTGCTGCTGCAGTGTCTGAGCTTGCTCGGGGATGCAGATGAAAGTGCTGATGTGTCCTGTTATTTTGGGTTGTGTGGTGCCCTGGAGGCCAAGGAATTTTTGGAGGAGACCGGGCAAGATTGTTGGGGGGCTTTAACAGGGGGGAGGTTGTGGGGGTGGGGCCGTGCCCAGAGGGGATCTTAGCTGAGTGTTTCTCCCAGAATGCAATGTGACCCTCATTGCCACATGGCGCTGTGGGAATCCTGAGGGGGTGTGGAATTGCTGACAGTACCAGGCTGAGCGATGGGCACAGACATGAGCTCAAAGATGGATGTCTCTGATGATTGGCGGTATTTCTGGATGTCTTTTGTACTTGAAGGGAGGGGCTGCTGATGACCTGTCACGCAGTAAGTTTAACACAATGTTTGATCCAAACGACACTTTGTCTTAAGTTTCAAAGGCATTCTCGACAATGAGAACTAAACAAACTCACCTCAAAGTCCATTTTGTAGTCCGATTTGCCCCCATGAACTTCCAACATGGGGAAGAAGCCCTTAAAGTGCTACATTTCCATGACGACCACACAAACTTCTGATGAAAATCATGTGATATGTTTGAAAGCTACTAACTAGCTACTTCATGGACCTGGAAGTGAGGTGGTTTTGTTCATCTGTGAAGCTTTGTTGATATCAACAAAGAGTCTTATAGTAGTCTTTTATTATCATATTAACAATAGTATGCTCATATACTCTATTTATATTATGTATTATATCTATATTATGTCACAGTAATGTGAGGAGAATTCACAAGCACAACCATTTTATACTATGTTTGTATTAATATAATGTATGACGTGATAAAAGACATAAAATCAGATTCACGAGTCGAGAGATTCAGAAGACTTTTTATTATTAATTTCATTCAGAAATATATAAAAAATAACCATATATATGTACCAAAATATACAATAAAAACTAACAATGACAGTATAAAAAGTGCTAAATGTACTGGTGGTAATAGTGGCAATAAAGATGAACCTTAATTCCCTGGTTAATTAGGAACGTTAAAGACCTTTTGTGCACCAAACCCTGTGGAGTTTTCTTGTAAAAACAAACAAAAGTTATGTTTACACTCAGTGTTATTTACCAAAATGCTTTGTGTGTATCTCTGGGCTCTAGCAAACATAACAAACAAACTCAAACAAACACAAAATAGCTCCTGAGTGCTACCAGTAGTCTTAAATTCCTAAGTCTTAAGTTTCCCCAACCTGTTTCCTGCTTAAAGTGAGCACTACATCACCGTCAATACAATCTAGGGATAAGTGAGTACACCATTATCTGCATCCGATCAACAAACTAAACTAAATTATCTGTACTCTTATCTGTACTGGACGCGGGGGTGCTTAAGCCAGAAGTGGGCAGGACTAATCGCAAGTTGCTTATTTAAGACTGTTCAGAAACTTCAGAGCTTCAGAGAAACATTTTGATCACACGAGTAAGATAACTATTTACATAATACATTTTAATAAAAGTTGCTATATATACTGGTACGGTTATTGACATATTGACTCGTTTGGTACATTATCCGTACCGGATTCAGCTGAGTACTCACTTAATAACATTAATAAAAACTTTAAGAAATGTTGTAATTCTCTCCATAGATTTCTTGATGATGATACTCAAATAGTTGAGCAGCACAGGAATGTAGTCTTTTACTGCCGTTGCTGTAGTCTCTATTATTGACTTGTAATTTCGGTGATGCATGAATTTTAACTCCCTCTACTTAATCTAACTCACTCTGCATCTGCTAGAAAGTGCCGCTGCATAACAGCAGCTGCTACATGACTGAAATGTTAATGTCAGACATCACACTAGCATTAACTCTCTCTGCTGGCTCTAAATGTTATCATAGATCTTTGCACAGACATTACGCTCCAATTTCCATTCAACTCACACGTGGTAGTAATATTACAGCCCGTTGCTGGGGCTTGGGCGCGCGTGAGAGAAAGATGCCATGTCATTTACTTAATTACACGTCCCCCACGGCTCACACCTTGAAAACTGCCTGATTTATTTGGTTGCCACTTACTGAAAATCATCCAGGATTCCCAGCGTCGTCTCGTTCTGTACTTCATCAGAGAAGCCTGGTCCATGTACAATATGCCACTATATTAATTAAGAGGGATACTTGCAGATTGCTCCATAAATCATTTTCCCTCACATTTTCATGCTTGGTCTAACATTGCAATTTGCATCTTGTTCCCCTCATAACAGTGTACACCTTTTGTGAAGAGGCAGGAAGACAGAAGACTTTTGAAGGCAACAGGATCATTGTCACGTAATCCTCAGAGGAGTTTGACAATAACCTTAGCAGGATGGATAACTGTGCTGACTCACTGATGTTGTTATCCTCGACATCTGGGACATTAAAGAGGCACTTATGCCGGGCTGAAAATGAAAGTCATGATGCAAATTTTTGCTTCTAACTAAATCCCAAAGAGTCACTTGACATTATTTCCACAGCAGGCCTTTATAGGATTTACTGATCAATTTTTTAATTTAATTTCTGCACCAATAAAATGCATTAGAGTCCTGTGGAGTCCTGTGGAATTTTTTTATAGTAACTTTGAGAGAGGAAATCAATTTCTCTCTTTTTTATAGAGCCTCCTTGATCTATACGGAAGGAATTATATGTGTCTTTGTTTGAATATGTGCGTGTTAAGCGCATTATGCATTGTGATTTCAGCAGACCTCACTGGGAGATACAGCCTAATTTTCCTCCTTCAATCAGATGACAAAGCTTTCGCTGCCAGTTCTCCGGTTACAATATTGCTTATTATATTATGTGTCAACATTGGTTCAATTCTTCGCAGATTTGAATCACGTGACCGTATGTAGACAAAGGCCTGAATCAGACTGCTTTGTTATTTTAGCCGCTCATGTGATCAGTACTCAACACCAAAGAGCCACTCTCAGCCCTCAACCCCCCCCTCCCTCCTCCAATCCTCCGCAGACCGACACAGAGAGAGTCTGTTACCAGAGAAACAAAGGTCAGTGTACTGTGTCGTCACATTTTCAACTCACAGGACGAATCTTGAAAAAGAAAAAAGGGCCGCAAACAAACATCCTTTGTTTTCGCTAAAACAAGACGGCGTTTGTTATTGCGCTCTGGGCTCTGATGTCATCGTCATGGTTCATCCTCTCTGCGACCTCTGGGCCGATGATTCTCAAATAGCTTCACCAATTAGAGCATTGATTTTGCTTCTTTGTCACACCCACGCACCCTCCAACCTTGCACAAACACAAACATGCATGTGTTCATCCGATATCACAAAAATAGATCAGTGAGTTCACTGTTCTCTGAATCTGGTCTTTTTCCCAGTGGGAAGCTGTGCTACATAAACTCTCTGCTTGCTGGAGCTGCACAAAACTCTATGACCTGTGCTATATTGTCTGACTGCCATCATTATCTGAGGCAGAAGAGCGGCTGGGAGACATAAAAACTGATTATATCGCAAGAAAGTACTTTGACATTTTACAGTTAACTCTTTAAATAGAAGTCTGCCTGAAAGAGTGAAAACAAGTCTTTCACACAAGAAACTAAACTCCTAATGCAGCCGACCTTTGATGATGTAAGTGATGTAATCCTCGTGATAGATGCATCAGGCTTTGGCCTTGGGCCGCTCTGAAATGTTCTACTCCCCGAAGGCCTAGCAGGCTAAATGGGCCAAAGCATCCCCCATCAATACACGACCAAGCTACGTGCCGGATCACCTCAACTGGTGCAATTAATCTTGGCCTTGTAACAAGTTGACAAGCTTTTATCCAAACAGCAAACAAAACAGCCTGACAACGATGGCGGGGGGGCCAGATGTTAATTTGGCTGTAGCTCTGCAACTATCATCCTAATAAGCGATGTTGCACACCGCCTTTACCTGAGATTAAAAATTCAAACGCAGCGTGATCAAAGTGGGATTACTCCGCTAAGCTTGCTGTAACAAAAGAAGAGGTGGAATATGAACATTGAGAAAATGATGTATTTTCACCCTCTTCAGCAATGCTTGTTAATGTGATTTATACTGGAAAAGATGTTGTTTTTTTTAGTTGACCTTATTACCACGCTATTCAGGTTTAATTTACATAACACTCAAGGTTAAAGCTACCTGAAAGATGGATGTAACATTCACAGCATACAACTGGCATTTCTTTTCTTAAAGGATTAGTTTGACATTTTGGGAAATACACTTATTCACTTTCTTTCCTCCAGTTAGTTGAGCAGATGGATGTAAATATGAAGCTACCGCTAAAGTTAGCTCAGCATTAAAAATAACAAAAAATAAAATAGAAAACTGCAGGTTTCTTTCTAAAGGTAAAAACTCTTAAGAACTCTGAAGTTTACTATTTACATGTTGTTTCGCGTCGGACCAGATTGAAACTAACTGAACACAGCTCGAGTCAGTATTTGACGACCTGGGAATGAAAACAGCTGTGAAGAGTGTAAGAGAAACTGCTGTGGCCACAAAAAACACAAAAGTACTTATCTACAGCCACTGTTTGGTTTGTCCGTTCTGGGCTACTGTAGAAACATGTACAAAACACAACAATTCATATTATATCATATACTAATGAAAACATACCTATGAATATTATATTATATTTCTGATAGATCATCCTAAATAAACTGAGACTTTCTGGGGAGGCTGGCTAGCAGTTTCCCTCTGCTTCCAGTCTTTATGCTAAGCTAAGCTAACCGTCTATTGACTCCGGCATCATAATTAATGTATAGATATGAGAGTAGAATCAATCTCCTCAACTAGCTCTTAAAAAAGTAACAAAGTGCACTTATTGTATTGTAAGAACAATAAAAGTCAAACTGCTTGAATTTACTACAGTAAGATAACTCATTAGTAAGTTAGCTAGCAAGCTTAGCTTACTGTGATGTGGATTGAAAATGAGGAAAGACATTCGTTACAGTTAACATTATATTCAGTCTATCACATCACCTGCCTGACTCCTTGACACAAACTGCAAGTATTGCAGTAAAAAGTAAGTAGAAATATTGAAGAGGTGTTTAGTTAAATGTTCTACCTGACACAGTGCTGCCTGACGAGCAGTTGAGCTAGAGCTGGACATCCGTGGATAACAGTGGCAGATGTATCTGACATGTCTTAAAATATATCTTCACTTCAGCAAAGTTGAGCCAAGTCAGCCCAAGGATTGCAGGAAGTAGGCTGTGCCATTTTAAGTAACCCTTCCAGTTTTATGTAAATCAGATTTTAAAATTAGCTCCCACAATGAGCTGCCGTCTGACTGGAGGTTGGTCCATGACCTGCTTTGAATACAATACACAATGCAATGTAAGGGAGGTTAAGAATTACATAATTGTGCATTGTTTCCTGGATTAATACTGTTTTGAACTCATTAAAATGTGATTTGCCGTAATGGGTGCCACGTCAACTGCATAATCAGCTGAGCACACCATGATTCAACAGATTACATAACCTCTATATTTCATGAGATTTCTTTGGTGTTGCTTCATTCTTGTGAGTGTTTACAGGAGGTGTGTAGCTGTGAGTCAGCACAGAGGAACGGCAGCGAAAGTCAGTGTGAGGCCAAGGTCGGATTATACAAGGTGATGTTTGAAGGAAAGAGTTAATGTCATCAGTTCGGTATGGTCTGATAAATTCCTAATGGGTAACTCAGGTCAGTTTTGACTGAAACCTTTCATGGGGCTTTTATTATGTAGCTTTGTTCTCCTGTCAGGGAGGTAGCCATGTTGATTTGCTAAATTTGACTTTGTGTACTGGTAATAAAATGCAAACAGATGAGAAATAATAGCTTGTGTACAAACAGGCATTAAGAGAGCCTGATAATATCCCCACAAGCAATCTGATGGCCTCTATTGTGTAAATAAAATACAAACCACTGAGAGCATAAAAGAGCCGCAGTGGTCATCAGACGGTGCTGGAGGCTAAAGTCCAGTTCTGTTATGACTGAGGGGCTGATACACAGAGCTACACATTAAGTGGTTGTCTGCTTTTCTGCATCACATTACTGTTACTTACGCATTACTCCCCAACTGGGAATTATGTCATTAGATAACATTTGCCCAGTTAATGCAAACCAGTGTTATTGATTGACAAATATTTACTGTCATTGTCAGTAAATATAATGCGTGGAGGACAAGTGTGTCTAGTGAAGCCAATGCAGAAGTGTCTTAAACATGCATTCTATGCAATGGCCTTCCATTGGTTGCAACAACAAAAAAATCTGATAGTATGGTATCTTATGGAGAAAGGACCCTACTTCTCACTTGATTTACTAGCTCAGTAAACAGTTTCCTCATGAGTTTTTGATCTTAATCGTCAGTTTCAAGTCCTTTTCAACACAGCATGATGTTCATTTAGTAAATTCAGGACGTAGCTACCTGCTGATTGATAAATAATTCTCAGTCTTTGTCCTGTATGTTGCACAAAGCACAGATTAAACAGTCAAACTAGGCAGTGCTGATCAAATATGAATCAAGATTCTGTTACCGTGTTGCCTATTTCCCCAAAAAAAACTTTTCAGGAACATATTTTAGTGAACTGTTTATCTATAATACAAGAATGTGTGTGAGCAGGCGAGCTGCCATTGTTTCCTGCTACGCCTAAGCCAAAGCTGGCTCCGGAAATAAAAAAAAAGACTATTTCAGAAGGATGAAAGCTCTGGGAAAAAACCTATAAATTGACCTTTAGTTGGGATTGTTTTATCAAACTGCTGTTTCCAATGAAGTGAATAAACTTCAGTATATTAATATGTAATATTGGTATTTCACTTTAATTGTAAGTCAAAGTGATGAATTATGCCTATCTCTACTGTAATTTACAACATATAAATGTTTGTTTTCTTTTCCTCTTCTTATGATTTTGTTTTAATAATGTACTTATGTTTAAGCTTTGGTGTTATTGATTCAGTTTTATTTATTAATTTATCTTTGCCTTAATCCTTGAATCCTTTGCAGTATACTCCCAAATCTATTTATTGAGATAAAAAGGGCCTACCGCAATATTATGAGCTTGGTCTGTCATTAAAACCTATTAACAGGCTTTATGTTACGCCTACACTCTAAAGTATCTGTGTATCTGTAAAATAAATGGTTTTTTTCCCTGTTTTCTGTTGTTATTTTCTGGCTGTCTGTATCAACTGGTACTTCAATTTTAACCCTATTAGCTCTTGCCTTTCACAGATGTTGCCGTGCCATTTGGAAAGCGGAGTGCTTCGATGTTTAAATCTGAGTAAAACTTATTTGTGACCATCGACTACAGGACATGCACACAGGACAAATGAAAAGAACTCATCCTTTGAGGCTGTTGTAACCGTCAGGCTGGTGGAGCCGCATCGAGCGCAAACACAGAAAGCTTGCCATCAACTTGCTGCCCTGAACACGACAAAATAGTGTTATGTCAGCGCGCAGAGAAATAGCAGTAAATTGGGAAGCAGAGAGGTACAAAGAGGTGTGGAGGGAGGGTTGGAAGGGAGGTGAGGAGGAGGCGGTGCGGGGGCTCTGAGATTCAGGCTGTACCTGAGGCATGGAGGGGTACATCATTATTC